AACCCATAAATCACAAACGAATAAATGAATTAGAATTTGAACGAATCCGCTATTAAATTCCTATGAATTAGATATATATAGAACTTTGTCAAGGAAAACCCGTGATGTGGGATCCTATAAATCAGTTTCACAGGGATAAAAAAGCTATTGATTCGTATTATGAATGCGATGAATGTACCAGATTGCCGAATTAAATAAAACAAGCGTTATAGTGTCGTGGAACACTCGGTTGGAACGAAGTTCCTTTCTTAATATATTATTATTGATATACATATCATATTATTGTTTAACAAATACAAATAAATGAATTATTACTAGCGTCTATTAAAATGAAGCGTCTCTTAAAACAAACTAATATTTCTTTCATGGTAAGATAAGAAAAAGTACGAGGGAGACATCCGTCTTATATTATTCTATCTCGTTCGCACTAAAAAAAGGGGATCGTGACAGAAAAATCTTACACTTTTTATCGCCTAGCCACCATCCATTAAATTTATACCGTGCTATAAGGGAATCGTTTCAAAAAAAGTTTTTTAAAAGTTTATAAAAATTAAGTAGATATAAAGTCGTATAATAGATAAAAAGCTCAACGCTCTCTTCAAGAACTACAGACCAATTTCTCTTCTGAGCCGCGTCTACGTGCTGTTTTCGAGAGTCGTTATGAATCGTCTTGTACGCAGACTCGACGACTTCCATCCTCCCGAACAAGCCGGTTTCCAAAAAGCTTTAGCATCGTAGACCACATACATACCCTTAAGCAAATTGTACAGAAAACCGAGGAGTACAATCTGCTACTATGTCTTGCGTATGTGGACTATGAGGAAGCGTTTGATTCCGTCGAAATTTAGCCGGTGCTGCAGTCCCTTCAGCGGTGCCAAGATGACTGTTGTTATATATGTAATCGCGTCGTACTCGTCCATGAATAACTCTGCGAGTTTCTCGGCGAGTCGTTCGTCCGATAATCTAATCGTGCCATTAGGGTAAAATGTACCTAGCGATTATAAACTCTTGGGAAGGAGGTCAAAGAGTAGATATAATAAGGAGGAGGTTCTCATTTTGTTCATTTTCTTCAGTTTTGTTATTACGAAGGTATGCAAAGATCTTAGGCCATATAGCCTAATCTGATTTGTATTTTATACATAAAATTCTTAACCCAGTGGAATGTTGAAGACAATAATATTTCAAGACCCTAAACTGATAAAAAAATGCCCTGATGTTTTTTTTTATCACCGTTGAAGTATTTATTATAGCACTTCCACTAATAGTTCTCATGCGCAGACTTTCAATACACAAAAATGCACGACGTTTTCGTATGAAACTTCATTTTAAACGACAAAACAGGAGCAACAATCCACCGGCGGTCAAGTTCCCGCGTTTAAAAAAAACATTATTTAAAGGTGAAAAAAGGGAAAATGAAGTTTTTAATGGAACTAATTAGACGACATCACATGAGTAAAGAAACTGTACGAGGCAAAGCTTCTAAGGATCTGACAAAATTTTTACCTATTTTGGTAGGGTTGGCACAGAAGGATAAAATTAAATAAACAAAACGTTTATAAGCATTTAAAAAATACATAAAATATAATATTTTATAATGGTGTCTTATATTTACACGAACACTACACATTGAATAAAACTACTTTTACGGATTTTATCGCGTATAATTATTCTTTTTTTTTTATCCCGTCGGTAATTTGAACATAAGTATAATTTAACGCGATAAAATCCATAAAAGTAGTTTTATTCAATATAATATTCTTTTTACAAACTACGTATTCTAAATATTTTACTTTTATAATTATTTTGCTTTAACAATTTGTTGTGGATTTTAATTAAATGGTATATTCGAAATTTAATGTGAAGTAATTTTTTTAATAATCTATTGGAAGCACTTGCATTTCATAACAAATATAAACTCTTGCCAATATTTACAATGTTTCTTTCAAGGTCAAAATATTTGCGAAATTTTTGCTCAAGCAATTCAATAAAACGCGATAAAATTGTCACGACCCAACAAATAACACACTTAAAACAACTAGTGACCTCATAAAGAAACACTCCGAAAAATTAAATCTAGACATAAAATCGATAATACCTAAGTGTGCTAAGCCACCGAAGTTATATGGGTTACCAAAAATGCTAAAGCCAATGCTCCACTACGTCCTATAGTGAGCCAAATCGATTCACCAACTCACAGATTGGCTCAACACTTAGCGGAAATACTCTCGCCGCTCAAAGGACATACAAGAGCACACACAAAGGATTCCTACCATTTTGTCAGCGAGATTAAAGACCTACATCTGAAAGATAATGAAACTATGGTCAGTTTTGATGTGCAGTCACTGTTCACATGCTTACCTGTTGAAGACTGAATCTCGATTGTTACTAGAAGGCTGGAGGAAAACAACATGCCCGTAGAATATGCAGTATTATTCAGACACTACCTTACATCTGGCTAGCTATTGTGGAAGGAAGAGTTCTACAAGCAAGTAGATGGCGTGACGATGGGCTCACCTGTATCTCCCATTGTCGCCTATATATTCATGGACGATTTTGAGGAAAAAGCCCTGCTTACTTCTCCCGTAAATCCAAGATTCTACAAGCGGTACGTAGACGACACTTTCACAATTCTACCTTTAGAGAAAGTAACTGCATTTTTAGATAATCTTAACTCCATAAATTCTAAAATTCTGTTTACAATGGAGTTAGAGGCAAACAATTCTTTAGCTTTTCTGGATGTATTAGTAATTCGGAATCCTGATACCACATTGAGCCACACTGTGTATAGAAAAAACACATACATATAGATATTTAAACGGTGATTCTCATCACCATACTTCACAGTTGGTTACAATGGGTAAATCTTTGTTTCAGAGAGCACGAGGGATATGTGACAGTAAAAACCTGACCACCGAGCTCCAATACGTCAAGCAAGCTTTGCACGACATTAAACTTCGGGTCCCGCGCCTAAGTCACAATGAACGAGTGAAGCCGGCCACAGTCCAGCAAGTGCCTGCTGTACTACCATATGTCAGAGGTGTCACTGACAAGATTGACTTCATTTTGAAGTGCCTAAGAAGATTAGTCAGTTTTTACCGTCAGTCAAGAATAATGTCCCTATGCAAGATGCAGGAGTGTACAAGCTTGATTGTGAATGTGGTCTCTCTTATACAGGACAAACTAAAACATCAATAAAAACCCGCGTTAAAGAACACATAGCTGATGTGAAGAATCTACCCTCCGGGAAGTCTGCAGTCTGTGAACACGTACAGGATCGCCCCCGTCACTACATTAGATCTGAAAGACCACAAATCCTCGCTAACGAACACCGATTCTTTCTAAGGATGATTCGCGAGGCTATTGAAATCAAAAAACATCCTAATTTCAATAGAGACGATGACTGGGTGCTACCATCGACTTGGGATCCCATAATTAATAAAATTAAATCCCAACCCAAGCATACAACTGCAAGACTTCGAGATACTATAAGTTCGTACTGCGTAGATTGGAACAAAAATTATTAATTTTAATCTGGAGGTAGCCGTGGTTAACTATGACATTGGACGACATACACCTCAGTCCTCCCCGTGACTACCATGGGTGCTGTAAAGTACTCAAAACATCGGGAATATAAAATAAGTTAATATACGCGATAAAATCCGTAAAACTAATTTTATTTAAAGGTGTAGTGTTTGCGTAAATATAGGAAATCATTTGTCACGAAGTATTATTAAAAAAAAACAATTAAACACTATCTTTAAAATCCTTGTAATGGTTGAAAAAATAATCTCTTCCCATATTTATAGGATGTTCAGATCTATTAACATACGGTTTTTTTTACACATTTGTAGTGTTGGAGACAACATTTTCTATACAAATATCTAAACCATTTTTTTATGATAAATTAAATTGATAATAATTTGCTCCTACTGTAAAAAAGGGCAGTAACATCGTCAGGTTGCGGTGATGGTCTATTAAAGTACAATCGTCTGGTTTTATGAGTAACATATCGAAATCCTGTTCACAGTTAGTATTTTGAGGTTTCCCTAAGATATTGATTATAAACATCTTATTGAAGGCAATACTAACTAGTCGACACTTTGGTCGTGGCAGTTGCAACCCGCCTGTTTGACTTTTCCAAAGAAATTTTGAGAGAATCTTGATTGAGACGTCTCGTAAATATAAATTAATTTAATTTCTTCTGATTTTAATTCTTCGTGAAGTTTTATTTAAGAATTTATAGATACTTGAAATCTGTGAATGAAATTCATGCTATTTGTAACGTCTTTCTGCCTATCACTTCTTATTGATTTTAAGTTCCTAAAAAATGTTAACATTTCTTCTAAAAACTTAATTTGATAACTGCCGCATCGAAATGCTCTTTTATATTTATTAGGAGATCGCAGTGTACTTGAGTGTAAGAAATCAAACAAATTATTAATTTTATTTACAAAATCAACGGTATTTCTTGCAGCAACCTCGATAAGATTTAAGTCTACGTAGGAAATATTAAACCATATTTACGCTTTTTTATATTCCATTTGATACTAATTATTCTTTAAAAACCAAATTTGACACTTATAATTTTTTATACAACCCTGAGTATGAGCACTGGCCGAGCCGATTTAAAGCAGTTTATCTCTGTACGTGACGAGTAGCAGTATACATATCACAGCGCGGTTGTATGAAGCTTTGCCTCTGTACGGTACGGTTTCTTTACTCATGTGACGACATTGAGATTGAGACATTCCATAATCCACATAAAAGGGTACAAAATTATCTTTTAACTATACTCTATTCCAATTACGAAGTCCCATTTGACAGATGTCAATAATCAAGTACTAGTAAAGTACCGCTATAGTCGATACTTGACGATATTGATCTTCGATTACTATAAACAACAAATTAAAATCGTATTGACAGAAAAAAGATTAGCATCAAATTAAAATTTATAAAACTGTTTTTTAATTTTAATTAGATAATATTACGTGATATTTTTATCAAGATGGAACATATTCATCATCACTAGCCGAAATCGATATTTCATGGTCGGCATCGTCGTCATCACCCTCATCATCGTCTGTAGAATCCCCTGTATTTATTATAATTTGGTTATCTATGACGGCATCGATATGTATGTCTCTGTCCCAATCAGCGAAAATCAAATTTTTTGCTCGTAAAACCACAATTTCCCAGTTCGCGGCAGTAAAACTATCACAAGCTTCTTGCAACAATGACAGCATTTTGTTTGCAGTAAACGGTGGGCTGGTATTTTTACGAGCCGCATAACCTAAAATAAAGGTTTGCGTGTTAATATAGCAACAGATAAAATGTTAAAATAGGTAAAAATAAATTTAAAAAAAGATTTGTTTAAATTCTTGCCTTTAATTTGCGCCCAAATCAATTCTATGGCATTGTATTGACAATGGTAGGGTGGAAGGCGCATTACATTGTGTCCGTCTTCCTTAGCCATTTCGTCCAATACGTATTTTGGTCTAGCTGGCTTATTTATAGCAACCAAATGCAGCAGCTCAACTTTTAACATGGACATGTCAGCAACAATATTATTGTCATTCAGCCATTTCACAATATCGGCTTTTTTGCTGCTAGAAGTTGGAGGCTTACTTATTTGTACTGAATGATACGGTGCATTATCCATAATGATCGTCGATGGCTCATTTAAGTTGGTCAATAAGGTACAAAACCATTCCTTAAATTTAACAAAATTCATCTCTTCGTGGTATTCCACAGTTTTCTTAGATTTAAACGCCAAGAGGCAGTTCGGAACAAATCTCTTCATGGAACCCGCATGACAAATAATTAAGCGTTCGCCTTTGCCACTAGGTACTTTTGTGGAGGAGTGAGGAGTGTCGTCTGTCCATATCTTGCCAACTGTATGATTAGCGTTTAGCCACGTCTCATCTAGAAATATAACATTATTCCAAACGGCAATGGACTTTGCTGATCTTAGAAAATTAAAATGTGAAAAAAATCCGCCTTTTATCACATTTTTTATAAGAAAAGCCAACATTTTTTAAAACCCTCCAGAAAGAAGTTATACTGCCGTGAAACAGTCCAGATTCTCGTAAAGTATTTGACAATTTATCGAGAGTCGGCAACTATAGTAGCCATAGATATGGTTTCTAATGGCGTCGTTATCAAAATTGTCGATATGTGTAACTATCTATCTTCTAACTTTTTTCTTAAGTGGCAATTTTAATTTGTTATCTTCCATTAAATCTTTACCATGTTTTTCCTTACTTATTCGGGAAACAGTTTGCTGCACTTACTCGGTTAGTCACTTGTGAAAGTGGCAACAATGGACCACCATTCTAATACTCTCTTTCAAAGTAATCTTGTAGGCGTACTACAAACTCTCGCGCTTGACTGCGAATTAGGCGTGTGTATCTCTTTACGGAAACGACTCACTGATACGAATCACTGAAGTGACACAAAAGATTGGTTCAGTAACAACGTTTCTAATGTATCATTTGTATCTGGAACAGTGAAACATTACTTTGCTCTTTGCTCATTTGGCGCGACGCGTCGCTTGCGAAGCGACTGAGCCACGAGCGAGAGAGAGAGACTGAGACAATGATTAACTTAACTATTGACTCACGAGTGGCGAGTGAGCGGGCGAAATAATTATAATTCACACAAGTCAGACAGAGATAACAAATAAGAAGTGTATCACTCAACTCGTACGGATTTTCGTTTACGTTATTCATGCACGTAAAAATTACCACTAAGGCGTTTATGTGTCAAATACTATACGGTCGTTTTTTGTATGTAACGTTTGCATTAACAAGTTGTCATTTTACGTTGATGCGGCACTTGTCAAATGAGGGCATCCACAACTTTTTCTGCCACCAGGGCGGCGCCACTTTACAGTGAGGTAAAATATTTGACAGATTTCATAGCGGGCACGATAATTTCTTAGGAAAATGTAATATTTAAGGTTTCTTTTCGTATTGTTAGTTATATTTTTTTATTAATTACATTAGAAATGAATAAACTAAACTATAAATATAACTTAAAGTAGATAAATTTAAAAAAAAGAGTTATAAAGTGCAAAAAAATAATAATCAAACCACTGACGCATTTTGTTGTATATTAATATAATACTCTAGATAATGATAAACTATTATTTAAAACTAATTTCTTAATTAACTGACACTATGTAACGAAAAAATTTACCTCAGTCACAACAAGCGACATCTGGTGAGTGGAAAATTATTAGCCCTCATTGTTTACATTCATTAGCGCCTGTTTACGAAAACATACTGAGTTATGTTTAGGATTTCTTTGCGTAGTGATTATTTTGACTTTACTTTCTTCCTTTTCATCATAAAGTTTAGAGTTATGATATTTTACGAGTAAATTCTGTGTACATAGACATTGCTGTTTTGTGTAATTGGACATTTTTGTAAATAATGAATTGACATAGTGACAGTTTTGTTAAAGTATGAAGGAGAATCGATTTTATATACAATCTTATTACGGTACACAATAAATAATCTAAGCACTTATATTATTCAGCATTGTTGCCACATAACATTTCACGGATCAGTCAATAATAAACGCCCGCAACGCAACTTAATGTATTCGGAACATTCTTTCTTTTATATCTTTTGAGTCGATGATACAAATGAGCCAAATGAAACATATCAGTGTTTCGGAACATTTCAGTGATCAAGATGCAAATGTTCCAATCCCAAAAATGATACACTTTGCCCACCTCCACTGCGAATCACTGTTCTTTTAGTGGTCTCAGTTTCGGCCATAGTGTTTATAAATACAAAAAAAAAACAAATCAAATAACAGTCAAAACTTAATAACAACGAAAGAATTATCAAACAGTTATAACTACAATAACAAGAACGAAATAAAACACAACACAAAATCAACTAAACTGAACACGCGTATCGTATACAATGCTTCTGCACTCGTACTGAAGAGACATACAAAATGGCGGTCGTGATCACGAGGTGGACGCAGTGTTGACAGATTTTCAATCGCGAAAAGAATCTGTCTATCATCAATTTTATACGATTCTTTTAGTCACGTCACTATGTAAAAAAGTAAAAATAAAACTATAGAACATAAACGCAAAACGGCAGTAAAATATTTTTATCTTTTAAAGTTTTAATTATTTTGAGCACGATGTCTAAAAACAATATGTTGATTGTGTGTGTGAATTAATTGTATAATGATTTAGATTGATTGTGTATTTTTAAATGATGACTTACGACCATGAACAAAAATGATTATTATTTCAAATTATGCGAAACGTGAAGAGTTACGTTCTAAGAAGTGTCAAAAGCATAGATAAGAGTGTAGTCAAAAGGGACTTCGTAATTTAAATAGTAGAGTATAAAAGTAAAAACCGAAGCTAAGGCATATTGTATAGAAAAATGAAAGCACAGACTTCAGAATGTGAAATTATTATCACGATCATGACAAATGAGAAGAATGAGTGACTAATTTTTTGTTTTATTTTATACTTGTAGTTTACAATAAGCAGAAATAATAATAAACAATTCAAATATTTTTTCGTGCGATGAATACTTTTCCTACAAGTAAAAAATTTATACTTTTCTATTTTACTTTATAATCTGTATTTTCATGTATATAACACAAAATATTGGAACGTAAATCGGAACGTTATGTTTATTTACGTGCATATGTCAATCACACGCAAATCACAATAGTCATTACGCACAAAAATAAAATAAATTCATAGTGTAATGAACGTAATATTAATTTAAAAATGTTGTGGTATCTACCATGGTCTGAAAGTATTAAAAAAAGAGCCTGCAGGTATCTGCTACAACGCTATCTGGGAAATTTCCTTGAAGAAAAATTGACTTTGGATCAGCTGAGTGTCGATCTATACAATGGAACTGGAACTGTATGCGATGTCAGCCTTGACTGCGAGGTAAATTAAATTTACTTTATGTCTATAAATCACTTATCAGCAAGCCTGTATACTGTATTATCCGGATATTTCTAAACTATGCTGCATCTGCGCCAAATTTAAGTGCGCATTATTTTTACAAAAACACGTGTTTATTTTACATATTTAAACAAAGAAAACTTTTGAAGTTATACTTTTATTTCACTGAATAGTCTACGAATATGTTTCGTATAAATAATTGAAATATATTTTACTTAAAATTATTATTTTAGGCATTAAATTCCCTTTTTGATATTTATTTTATTAAAAATAAGTTTAAAACTATGTATTTAAAATTTAGTGTAATAATAATATAATTACTTTAAATATATTCCTATTTCCCTTATGTATGTTAAATACTTTTTCTCTAACAAGACTAAGAACTGACCTGTATCCTATATAATTTTATGTTTTCTGAAGGTCTTTATGTCATACGCCACTGTAGCGATTTGTCATCAGATGGACTGTGAGTCCCCCTTATAATATATGTTTTTAAATATATAGTAGCCCAAATACAGATGTGTTCATGATTAATGTTATTTTTATTTGTAATAACAAACAAAGTTAGTCATAAGCTCATAAGTGGCTACTGCAATTGGTGGACACCACATGCAAACTATAAACAAAGAAGGCTACTGATATGTTGTGTATATAAGGACTCAGGTGGAAGCCTCATTACCTGTAACTATAATTTATAGGTGGGCAATGCAAACCATATACTGATAAAAAATCAATATATTGGTACAATATCTAAAAACTGCTTACGGGTTCGTTGGAAAACAATGTATTACAAAATCTGATATTTGTGTTCTGTAGCAATGCCTATATTGCTTTGCTACATTCACTGCGTGTGACAGAGCACGGACAATAATAGGTATTAAAGTTTAATTTCTGTTGCCTAATATTGATATGTTTCAAATGCTATTGTTTTTAAATACTAAAATCCAGTGCATATTATATTATTTTATTTAGAATTTCCAATTTATTTTTAGATCTGCCTGCTCTGTGCTTTTTATTATATTTTAAATTTATTTTGTGTTGTAAATAAATAATACACTATAAATAGCTACTATTTTAACTGAACTATTGATAACTATTGAATCAATAACATAGTAGCAGTAGTGAACTACAAGCGACCTTTATGAAGAGTAAATTAATAAAATATAATCAAAATTGGTTCATTGGTTTTATAAGAATTCAGAAAATCACAAACACATAATATGTACATACATACGGGTTGAATACAAACCTTCCATTTTTTGAGGTTAGTTGGTTAGCGCTATTTTGTTTTTAAGTAGATCCACTCAATGAAAGGATTTTGAGAAATCCCAACCGTATCTTTTTAAATCAGTTTTCACATGGACAAAGTCACGGGAATCAGCTATTTAATTTATTAACTTCGATATATATGTAGGTAAATCAAATTATACTAAATTGACTTAACCAAAACTGAGTTCAAAACTTAAAAAAAAGAAAGTTAAAACTACTATTAACTATCTGAATTAACTCCAAAAAATAACATAATATGCATTTAATCTATATATACATCTACAATACTGATTTGCATTGAATAGGTAAGAGTAACTGCAAAATCTTTGTATGGGAATTCAACAGCATATCAGAGTAGAAAATATAAAAGCACAGAAAATCTAGATATTGAAATATATGGTTATGATATCAGATATTGAGGTTCAAAATCTGATATAGATACGATTCTCAGAAAACGGGATATGACCCAGACTACTAAAATGGCAATATTTTTTTAAATATATAAACCAAGTATAATTTCAGTTTTCAGTATGTTATGGGAAGTTATTTTTTGAGATTTGCAAATAGTGGCATTTAAAAGTTTTTTAAGCAACATTTCATAAATGAACTTCTATCATTATTTCATATTTCTGTTTTACATTTTTCTAAAAGTGTAAGGTGTCAGGTGAACTGTGTGCTCGTTTATCACCTTTACTCTATTAAAAAAAATCTATGAAGGAGGCCTATGTTCAGCATTAGACTTTTCTATCGACTTCAATAAGGAGACAGTACTCAATTCGACTGTATGTTTTTTTATGTGTGTTACT